TGGGCTTTAGCTCTGAATTGTCTAAACTGATTTTGAAAAATTAACCACTATGTAGGAGTTTACTAGTCAGTGCTCATTTAGCAGCAGCTGTAGTATAGTCACATGTACAATAGTGGTAGCAGTAATACTGTGCTTTCAGAAAACGGATCCAACCAGGTAAATAAAGAACTACTGATAAAATTTTGGATCTTCCAAAATTAAGCCTAATTCAAGATATATTAAGCTAGATTTACTAAATAGTGTTAAGGGCCACTGGAGTTTGAATTTTGCTAAAAAATTGTTTAGGTATCTGAAATACACTGTACAGTTGATGTAAAGGCCTGTTAATAGCACTATTTTGAGATGTAGCAGCTGAAGAACTTCTGTGAGCTGTGTGTTTTTATTATTAAATAATTTTGCTATTTTTGCTCTATTTGCAAGAAAGAAATTAACAGCACATGCCAGACTAGCTTTATTTCTATCCTGAATAGATAAGCAGTGCAGTACATAATAAATCGCTTAAATTATGTAGTTACAAAAAGAACATACTTTCCTTGTTTTTGGATAATACATTATAATGAATTCCACAACAGCATATTGTGTGTATATGTATCTCCAAGTAACATTTTTCTATCCTCTGTAAAGCATGTGTTACTGTAAGATTAAAAATATATAAATTATATTAAATATTTTGAAAACCAAGACAGCAGACTTTGATTGGTGATCTGTCATGAGGAAAGTAAAGAAGGACAGTAACATCTGGTGGAAGCTATTTTATGATTTAGTTTGACAGGTATCTGTAGGTGGATATCTGAACTGATAAAGCGGAAACAGGGCAGCCTATAAATTATTGACTGACAGATGCAACACGTACATGTACTAGACTAATAGGACCTCATTCGAAAATCAACAGAAAAACTTCATTTTGTTTTAACTATTTTGTTTGTTTAGAGGTTTCTTTTTGCTTGGTTTGGGTCAAGTGCACATCCCAAGTCTGATCACCATATCATGGTAAATGCAACTCTTTACCCTGAAAAAATCATACAGAATTCAGGGGTGTTTTTTTTCCAGAGATATCAATGTACTCCATGTGCAAATAATTTTCTTGCACAGTTCCATTAACTTTCTTCTTTCTGGACATTACCAGTTGAGAAGAACTTGCACTATGAAAGTAACTTTCTCATTTGATCCTTGCTGGGAGTCAGGTATTGATAGGAGTAAAGAGCACCAACATCCATCATGACTTACTTTTCAAACAAATAAATATATTGCTTAAAACCTTTCTTTGAATATTATTTAAACAATGTATCTCAGCAGTATCTTGTAATAGTGACTTCTTCTGGACAATTATAAGTAACTCGAGAAGTGCTTGTGAATGGAATAAACAGTTAAATTTTATCAAGGAGATTGCTGTCATGTTTATTTGCTTTTTAGTCCAACATAGGGTAAGCAGAATTACTGATTCCATTTCTTGATAATAGTCTAATCTAGCATTATCTTATGTATTTCTGGTTTTTACCATCAAAACACAGGGCCTGACCTGCATGATCATCTCTTCTTTCTGCTTCAGAAGCTCCCATGCTTCTTGCAATTTTCACTTTTGTGTTGTTTCTATTTGCTGTATTTTTGTCAGAAAATTATTCAGTTTTTAATATATCAATGTAATACCAGAATTTTTTTTTTTTACAATTTTTAACTTTTAATTTTTAGTTAAAAAAAGTAGACTGTTATGTCATGTTCTTGACTTGTCTTCTGTAACAGGAAATGAAAGCTGAAAGCAACTGTGCCACTAGGGAAGCACAGATGAATACGTCAGGGCCAAGTTCAATGGAATAAAACTAAAATGCATTTTTGTCAGTTTTTAAAGCTTGCTTGCTGTAGTTGCTTGCTTTCAATTATGCAGCAGCAGTGACTGGGCTCCATTTCTATTCGTATTTCTGTTTTTAAGAAATGAAGCTCTAAACAGCATACATCTTCACCAAAATATGAAAAGGAGCTAGCTGCTGCTGAACTGTTATTACCACAGGTGAGAACACAGCTGGGGAGGATCAAGGGAGGCAGAGGAACAGAAGACTATCAGTAACATTACATGTTTTCAAATGTTATTTTGAATTATTTATACATAGAATAACTAAACAGAAAAATTATAATAAGAGTGTGCTTTACACTTTCCTGTTTCCAAAATCAATATAGCCTAGGCTGAGGAAAATCTATAGTTCACATGTACTTTAATTGTTTAGGGTCTACCTTACTTTCATTTAAACAAAAAAGAATTTTGTCATTAATTTCAGTGGGTTTTCACAGCTCCTGATGTATAATATAAGCAAGAAGAACTATGAATATACTGCATTTTAAAGGCAGAAATCTTTTCAGAAAACAATTTAAGAAAACAAACAGAAGTATGCTATCTGAAGGTAGAAACTGTTGAAAAATGCAAACCTTAGGTATAGCATCACGTGGCACATACTATAAACACTGGTTTAAGTTTTACAGCAGACTGCTTCCCTTTAATAGCTGGCTGAAAGATGCCTCTAGTATTGGATGAATCATAAGTTATGAATCGGAACCTCTTATAACAAAAACAAAAGAAAAAGTGCTAGTTTACGCATATGATATGGCTTTCTTCTTTTTATGCTTAGTGGTGCCCACCTGAATCATGACAGCAAAGACAACACTGGTGTTCCTGTGGTTAGACCGAAATGAGAACTTTCATCAGCTGCAAAGAAGTCAGTTTTGAGTACATACTACTGTTGTTACCCTACTATTTGGTTCTGGATTCCAGCATTGTCTTGAAAGTAAGGAATGAGTATTATTGAAGGGTTTGGATTATGTGACCCTGAGGTTGTTTGCATGGATGTTGTTTCTATTAACACAATAAATAGAATAGCTAAAAATTCTGATCCTCCCCCCCTTAATTTGAATTGCACATTTTTCTAACAACTCTTTTTTTTAATACAATTCGGCAAATTTTTTTTTTTTTTCCACAAAGCTCTACACCAAATGGTCTTGTCCATAGTGGGTATATTCTGTTCTTTGGCACTAGTGATACTGACAGTCACTCTGCAGATGGTATACTGCTCCAAGACGGTCTATGATTAAATCTGTTACAAACTTTATTGAATGATACCAAGCTTAATTCCTTGCAATATTGTTGCAACTTTGTGTTAACTCTGTGGTGTCTGCCCACAATGATTATTCCATGGAAAGCAGATTCTTAGGCTACTTGGTCTTCTGTCAGAATGATCCTGGCTTTTGCAGGCTATCACAAGGCCGGTAACCTTTGCCAGTGAATGAGTCACAAAAAGATAAAGCAGAACCTGATGCTCCTGCCTTTTCATACAGAAAGGGATGGCGCGATACGTTGTTTAAAAAACTGTCAGCAGCTGACACCACTTGGAACAAAAGTCCTGTCATCATTAACAGTACTGAGATAGAATTGGTATTAGCAATACTGAGACAGATCTGTAATATATTCTTATTGCACATGGAATCCAAATTAAGCACTAAACTTCTCAAAATGGACACTTCTTGTGCTTTGAAGCATTCAGTGTATTGCCCCACATTTTATAGTGTGTATCTAATTTTCTTACAGATGCAGACTTGCTAAGTTTTCAAGAGTACTTTCTGTTTGCTTTTCAGATCAAGTGAAATTTGTATACAAAACCATGTCCCTTCTTGTCAATTTCTCCAGCAACAGATTTTCTCTGTCTGTGATTTCTGTGGCTCTGTAACTATTTTAACAGAAATGTCTTCAAGTAAATATGCAGGTTTGAAAAGCAATTGAAGTTTGAATTTTAATCGTGGTTTGTCCCATTACTTTGAACTCAGAAAAAATATTTGCCCCACATTGTAATTATAGCTGAGGTAGACAGATGTAGCAAGAGTATGTCCCTTTCTTGGGCAAATAAAAACTGCTATACTTCTACTGTGAATTGTATTCTAGCATTGTTTTGAATATTTGCATCTCTGAATAAATATTCATGACAGCAAATCATTTCAACTGTCTTTGGATAATTCAAATACAGCAATGAAGGGATTATGTTAGTTTTAAACATGATTGATTGAAATCAATTTCATTTGATGTAGTTTTTAATAGTAATTCCATAAAAACTGTTGTTATCAATAACGCTTAATAGTGGCATGCATAGGTGCATATGTGGACAAGAGATGAATAAAACAGATCGCAGTAAAACAACTACAGATCTGAAGTGATTCTTAAAAAACATTGTTACAGCAACAAGGTTGCTCTTGGCAGATGAAATGCATTTGTGAAATTGTATGTAGGGTAAGGTATGCAGCTGCACTGAAGCTAAGGACTGACAGTTGTAATTGTATAAAAAAGAAAATAAAGGTAATAAAAAAATTTGAGAAGAGGGAAAAATAGATGCAGAAAAACCCTTCATTTCTTATGATGAGAAGTCTGATATTTGTAGATGTTTCCCTCACTCCCCTTGATACAAAACTAAATCTCAGGAGTAGTTTTGAATACAGTTTACAGTTTCCTGATGAAAAAAGCTTTCTGGCTTCTCATAGCAGCTAATCTGCTTTTTTTTTTAAAAAAAAAAAGAACAAAAACACAACAAATATGGATGTTGTCTTAATTATTTTTACACTTAAGGCAAACCACAGATTTAGATTTTTTTTTTCCCCCACACTGTGTATGTGTGCACGTACAGTAGTGGATTTTAGATACAGTGTTCTTAAGCACCTGGCTTTGAACATTTTTGGCCTTCAGCGAACAGAAACAAGAAAGCAATTTTGCCTCTGCAGTTTTACTCAAACTTAGGTGTATTTTTAGGCTATTTCACAATGAGTAACACACTTTCCTTTCAGACGTTTACCGGTTGGGGACTGGAACCCACGGGTTTGCAACGAATGGACAAATGCTCTGAGAAACCCAGGGGCTTGCAGTACGTGTGCTGC